GCATCGCGAGTGTCATGATTTGAAAGTAGGACGACAGACTTACTTTTAAAAGTTCTATTCTATTGTTCCAGTTCATACTCATAGTATAGGAGCATAGGGTGTGTAAGCCTTTTAAAATCTGTAGAAACCATCCACTCAGATTTTTTATCAAGTATTTAAAGGAATTTTCTAGAATAAAGCGCACAGGACAGGTGGTTTAACACTTTGCCCCCACGAGACTCCGATGGGCGACGCTAAGAAGCAGTCCCTTTTCCCCACAGGACGCAGATGGCGACGGTATGTCACGTACATAGCATCAATAGTGTTGTGTAGCAATGTATTTTTTTATAAGCACAAAAGTTATAATTTACTTTCTGAATGGTTTGTGTGGCCTTTGAGGTCAAAAATCAATTTGTTTACAACAATTGGAGTAAATTTTTTTGAAAAATATTGAGAAAACCTTGCATGAGTGCTGCTTTACACTTATGCCATGATGAGAATGATGAATGTGCTAGATATAATGTTTTCAGTTCTGATTCTAATTCCTTTTTTATGGTGGATAGGCCTATGCCAATCATCATGTTCAATTTTCTTGTGTGTGCTGAAAATTTCATAACGGTAGGTATATTTTTGCCGAAATACAGATAGTACTGATGTACCACAGCTCCATTCTGGTGTAGGATGTTCTTTTTTTTTTTTGTAAGTGTTTTACAGCGCTCGCAACTCCATAAAGTCATATGAGCTGATGGGACACATTTAACATTTTCGGTAGGTAGGAAATTTTGAATCTTGCCGGTGTGGTGGCTGAGGCCTACTTTTATCGGTTTTAAACTACCAAGGGATCTTTAACGGGCACTACTTACACACGGGACCTCTGAGATTTTTCGCCCTTGTCCGAGAAGGCTTGGTGTAGATCTTTCCTACCAGAAGATCAGGGGTGTGGCTGAAAGAGAGCAGTAAGAAGGGGCCAAGGAGTAGCAGAAGAAAAGCTGAAAGAGTCTCAGGAGCCCAAAAGAGGGGACAAAGGAGGTGAGAGGGTTGGGGCAGAAAGTGGAGACGAAAGCAGACGACAGAATATTGTAAGAGAGTAGGAAAGGATGTGACAGGATAACATTTTTTAGAGAAGAAAATTTTCTGTCGTTATCCGGATTCCAACCCGAGACCTTTGAATGATGAATGAGAGGTGAACACTTTAACTTAACTTCTAGGCCACAAGAACCCCCTTTGTTATAATGGCATGTGCTTTGCGCGCTGCATGGGTGGATAGTGTTAAAAAATATGCCGGCTCTATTTCTCCGAACGTTCGGGACAATAAACTTGAACTCTATTTCTCGTAACGATTTCTGTTCTCGAGATTTGTTGGTAATAAAAGCAAATGGAGTAGCCTGTGTGTGTGTGTGCGTGTGAGTGTGTGTGTGTGTATGTGTGTGTGTGTGTCATGTGTGCGTGTGTGTGTGTCGGTGCTTGTATAAGGTGAGAACGGGGGGGGGGAGGGGTTTTTGTGACTAAATGCAAAATGATACGTTACTGCGCGCAAGGTCAAGCAGTCTTGTTTTCTCGCAGTATCTTTTGAGGGTATTTTCAAATGAAGCATAGTCCGGGAACGTTGCCCCAACCACAACTGAAGCATACTGAATATTTAGACATTTAAAAATCTCTAGCTCTAAAATTGAATTTGAAGCAAAAAATGCATGTAGTCCGGGAACATTGCCCCAACCACAACTGAAGTATCTGAATATTCAGACTTGACATGTGCATTTAAAAATCTTTAGCTCTAAAAACTGAATTCGATGCAAAAAATGAATCTTAACAGTCCTCGCAGAATGGCAGAATGAAAGGATGATGTATAAATCTCGCAAATAACTAAAAAATCTTGAGATCGGAAATCGTTCGTAGAAATAAAGTTCAACTTCATTTTCCCGAACGTTCTGAGAAAGAGTCACTTCGTAAAAAATATTCATCTGTTGAGACAAATTGAAAAGAGTAAAAGCCATTGTGTTCAAAAGTTGGAGAGTCGATGTTCTAGCTGGGGAGTTGAGAATAAGTTGCACTACGAATTCTTGACAGCACTATAGAAAAGAGTAGCCTACTATTAATTTATAAGTAAAGTGTAAAGTGAAGTCAAAGTGCCACAGAAAGAACAGAGTGCTGCACATACAACAGGGTCAACACTCGGGTCTAATCAGGACTATTTAACACTTACAGATTACAAGTCAATCAAGTTATTAAATAAAACTGCGCTTTTTCGGTAGTTCCCACCCCGCAATTGTTATTCACGGGTTTTGGCCCCAAGAGTAGGGGGGTTTCAGGGGGGCTTGCCCTCCTGACCTAACAAAAATAGGAAGGGGGGTTTCAGGGGGGCATGCCCCCCTGAATTTTACTACAATTTAATGTTTTGCTGTTGTTAGGTTTGATATCTTAGCTCACCGCGAATCAAACGTGTGTATAGATCTAGATCTATATGTCATGTAGGTCAGGCTCAAATAAGGGGGGTGGGAACTACCGAAAAAGCACCAATAAAACTGCAACAAAAAGACAATTTCCAACACCGACTCCTTGCAACTGAGTACTGAGTCATTCGAACATGATTCATTTAGGGAAGTGGCTATTCTCACCCGGGGTGAGAATAAAAAATACGATCTACCTCTCACCCCGGGTGAGACTTGCCAGCGTAGGCTATTCTCACCCGGTGTGAAACAAGACCTGTTTTTCCTCATTTTGGAATGGCCGGCACTATTTCTCCGAACGTTCGGGAAAATAAAGCTGGGCACTATTTCTCCGAACGTTCGGGAAAATAAAGCTGGGCACTATTTCTCCGAACACTGTGAAATCTCATCCTTTCCCGCAAATTTCGGATATTATATATAGATCTATAAATATAGTATAGGCCTACCAAAGATTGTTCGTATACAATATGGTTCAATCGGTCCAAAAAAAAATGTCCGCAGTAAATATTTATATAAAGAAATGCTACAATTCCAAACAGTTTTTCGCTACAGATATGACGTGTTGCCTATGAAAAGTGCTGCTCTTAAACGTAATGTGTTGTGTTCACTCGTGTGCTGTCTAGATCTAGATCTAGATCTACAGAGGGTTATTGATAACGACACATGAACTGGCATCTGCGTTTGTCACTGCTGCGACCAATGTACTGACACTGGCAAGCCCCTTAATGTGTGTGATTCCACAATTTACATGTAATGTTAAAACAGCCAATCTTCTTCGGACAGGTGGACACACGCCCTTATTTGTTAATGTTTGTTGTTGTTTGTGGGCTGTTCTAATTTTGATTTCTTTCTGTTGTGAAACCTTTCTTTTTCACGTTTTAACACTCATCTAAAAATCTCTAGAATTGCTCTTGAAAATTGAAATAGATATATAGACCCAAAATTTGCCCCTGTGTGTGTGTGTATGTATGTATGTATGTGCGTGTGTGAGTGTGTCTGTGTGTAGTAGTAAGTGGAGAGTGAGGAGTGTGTGTGTGTGTGTGTGTTTGTTTTTCGGGCTTTATTTCAGCCTTTATTCAGTAACAGTTCAAAGTATACAAAAATAGAAACACAGGATCCATTCACTCCAGGGCTCAAGAGTCGTTCATCTCTTTCAGTTCAACTAATTCATTCAATTTCCGTGTTCTCTCCCGCGGCTCATCCCCGTCCGTATGACTTTCACACCCCACCCCCTCCCTCCAGACACACACAAAGAAAACCTCACTCATTCCCTTGCACCCTGCGAACCATAGACAACAATATCTAGGCAAAACACTGCCTGAGCTGCATTCCTTTCGTTCGTGAGCTGTGGACCAGGCCAGGAGGGGGGGGGGGGGGTCGGTGTCGTCTTGTAGTTGCTGTCACCTGTGGATACACTCGCACATTCTTCCTTTCACCCGCTCTTTCACTCACACTGTCTCTCCATCCACAGCTCAGCTCGTCATACGTTCAAAAGTTGCCCACTGGTCATGTTTAGTTTGTGTGTGTACATGTGCATGATGGTGGTGGGTGTGTGGTGGGTGTTACTGAAGGTTGTCTGTAGGCGGGCTTGCCATGCGGTGTTCCTTCCCAGACCAGAGGCAGAATGAAAGTTGGCGCCGAACTCTCGCAATAAATAGGCAAAAAATCACGAGACCGGAAGCCGGAAACCGTTCGGAGAAATACAGATCGGCACTATTTCTCCGAACGTTCGGAGAAATAGTCACTTCCTTTTGGAATACTGTCTATCGGTGTGGATGATCAAATTGATAAAAGCCAAGAAAAAATTACGTTATAGATCTAGCACTAAAGTAAGTCTTCAAAGATGCTATGGCTATTTCACTTTTCGAATCGAGCCGAACTACGCGGGTCGCCATTTTGCTTTGCCTAGAAGTTCTCGCAAGATCTACTCCCCCCCCCCCCTCTCTCTCTCTCTCTCTTTCCGAATACTGTCTATCGGTGTGGACGATGAAATTGACCAAAACAAAGTTTTAAAATGATGTTAAAAAAGAAAACTAAATTAATTTGGTTGTCTACAAAGATGCTACGGCTATTTAACTTTCCGAATCGAGCTGAACTACGGGGGTCGCCATTTTGTTTTGCCCGGAAGTTCTCGCGCTACTCCTCTCTCTCTCTTTCTCTCTCTCAACTGCCCACAGACAAAATTGCACTTTTTTAGGCTAAACTAGATCTAACAGTAGTAATAGATCTAGAACGTTTGTTCACAGCACAGAATTCTATAATTCTGTTACCACAGTGTAGAATTCTGTGGTTCAGGGTGAATGTTTCACTGGTTGGCCTAGGCTATAATAACGGTGAATGCCCACCGGGTGAGAATAGCCAAAAGACTCGCCTGCGCTATTTTCACCCGGGGTGAGAATAGAGGTGGCCAAAAATAAATTTACTTCAAAATACATTGACATTGCATATTTGTAACTTCCATTTTTATAAGTTGTTTTCACATGGAATAAAAGTGCAAGTGACCATTTATGCCATTATAGATAGATCTAGTAGATCTAAATTCTAAATCTTCCAACAAACTTGAGTCCAACTTACAGACTGCGAATTATTTCAATATTGACTGTTGTCGTACAGGGTGACATGAGCTTGCGATGAACAAGTAGAATCTGTATTGAACTAGAAAATCTAGATCTAGAATCTAGATCTGGTGAGTCTAGAATCTCATCTTGACAGACTCTAGATTCTAGAGTCTATTTTATTCCAACACAAGTCAACAAGCCAAATTTCCACTTCGTGAAGTTAGATACATACATCGTAGTTTAGCGGTCCGAAACCCTAGTCAACATTAATCTAGACTCGTTAGCATTCACATAGGCAAGTTTCTTTTGACTGAAAAATTAATTAAAATTTCAAAAGCAATAAATTGACGCTCCAAGTTCTCAGTCGCACCTCCTTGACCGCTATTTTCACAAATCCGATGTGACTGCTACCCTGAATGGCAGTGTTGTGTAATGTATGTCCTGTCTGTAAAGGGCTCAAGGCCCCAGGCCACCTTTAATAAAAATAGGCTTATATATATATATATATATAACAGTTTTGTAAAATTAATTGTTCAAGCCATCTGCGTAAGTTGTTTTTTGTCTTCCTCTGCTTTTCTTTCCCTCTATCTTTCCACACAGCAGCAGTTTATCTAGTCTTGATCTATGTGGCCCTTAAAGAATACCAATAGGTCGTTTTCTGATGATTCTGGTTATAGATCTTTCACTTCTGCCATTTGGGGCATTTCTCTATTCCTCTCTGTCCATGAGAATTAGAGTATAATTCACCTCACCACATTTCAGCGGTCTCTTATTCTTCTCTATGTGTCCTTGTTTAGAGTCCAGCTCTTGCATTCATACGAAAGGATTGTCCATACGCACGCTTTCGGGGTTCTTATTTTTGTGTTTACTGTTATGTTTCTCTTGAGAGGATGTTTTTCATCTTGTAGAAAGTTTCTTTAGATATTACAATCCTCTTTCTTTTTCTTTTTCCTCTCTATGTCACAGTTTGCATCTGGTGTAATTTTGTTTTTGAAGCTGTTATAACATGTTTTATTTTTTCGTTCTTACATGTGATGTTGCATCAGTCTACGTTATAACTGCGAGATGTGTATCAGTAGTATCACTATATCACCATGTTCCGTTTTCTAGGCATTCGGTCAGTTGTAGCCACAGAATTCTACACTTAAATGTAGAATTCTGTGGTTGTAGCCTAAGCCCCAAACTTGGCTTTTCTCTGTCATTCTAGTTTAATCTCTCTTTGGAGCTTAAATTTAGTGGTGCAGCGAGTAAGCCATCAAGACTGCATCATCAGCGTAACGTCAATTTATGTAAGTAGGCCTATATATTATAGTATAATATATATATATATATATATATATATATATATATATATATATATATATATATCAAGAAGAAAAGTGGCCGTATAAGACAGGTGGCCGTCTTAGGCAGGACTGATGAAGATGAAGAAAACAAACTATTCCCATCTGAGGTCCCAATCGAAAGTAGCCGCATTGTTGTTGTTTTTGTTGTTGTTGGTGGTGGTGGTTTGTATTTTGTTTGTAACTTTTATTTTGTTGCTGATTTTGCACAAGGGTGACAATAAAACGAAATGTGTCAGACGAGGAAGACCGAGTGGCATGTTAAAACAAACACATGGATCGCCACCCCTCGGAGAACGAGCGACGCATCTGTCACAAGTTCATGTTGACGTCCTTTGTCGTTACTGACTGGGTAAACAGTGACCACTCATCTCACTTACGATTTGTGTATAAGTTCTGGGCGGGGCTTATGGGTTATGAGGGATCACTCACTCACCAAACCAGCAGCTGAAAATTGGTAGCT